CATGGCAATGAAACGATATATGGTGGAATGAATGTAAAACTAAAGTTCTCCCATGTAAAATATCATATAATTCACAATAAAACATGAAAAAAAAAATTAAGTTCAAGTTTTGATCAAGGTCCCAATTGATGGATCCTGATGAAAAGGAGAAGCATGGAACAGAACTTCAAATTCATGGAAACCAGACTTACTGGATCCACGGAGTCTGGGAGAACTCTCTAATCGAATGCCTGGAAATAATCTTTCAACCTTGAACTGAAACTATCCCAAGAAGCCATAGTCAAACTAATTAACAGAGTAGTCCAATTAATAAAGAGCCCCAAGTACGGTGCTGTTATGAAGAGTTCTCTATATGCGTGTAAGAAGTCCTGTAGGATAAGCTCTAGACTGCTAACCCCAAGGATGGCAGTTCAAACCCACCAGCTTCTCCTTGGAAGTCCTATGCAGGTTTGCCAGGAGTTGGAACTGACTCTACAGCACTTAGCAATAACAACAACAAAAAACTACGTGTGTAAACTGACAGCCGTTCATCCAAAGCACATATAACAAACAGCTTTAAGGAACAAAGAGCCTCACTTAACGGGAAGAGACTGAACGGTGACACGATGTGACGTTTGGAACCAACTGTGAATGGATCTGTTTGGTTGTGTATATTGTCACCAGAAATAAAAACCATATCTTTTCAAAATTCAGTTCAGCCAGAAACAAAAGGAGGAGACACTGCTTGATTCCGTTATATGAAATATTTTGAATAGGTGAATCCATCAAGACAAAAAAGATGGGTGGTTTTACCAAGAGATGAGAGGCGGGGCGCAAGGGGTGAAGGAGAAGGGTGAGGATGGAAGGAAAAATCATCAGTGTCCACTTAAAATTGGTAAATTGTTGTTGATGTTAAAATACATATAAACATCCATATAAAAACATGTGTGGGCTTTATTTCGGTCCTGATTCAGAAAACAAAGCTACAAAACAAAAACAACTTTCACACTCAAAAAAGGAAAGAAACAAAGACAATTAAGAAAATGTTCATACAAATGTGATATTAAAGAATTATTCATTTTAAAAATAGGTATACCTGGTGTGGCACTGTAGGATAAGCACCAGACTACTAACCTCAAGATCGGCAGCTCAAACCCACCCAAACCGCCCTATACAGGATCACTATGAGTAGGAACCGACACTCAGCAACAACATACCTACAGCAGTCAATGCTCTTTGGCAGTTAGCAAGGATGGGAAGGGGAAGGAGGGGGACTCAATCTCGAGAGAACAGACACTTGGCCTTTTGGGTGACAGATAAAGCAACAGCGAATGTAAACAAGGGAAACTATGACAATAAGCAATACACAAGATGAAGGGTTACACACAGCTGCTAACCAAGACGTTGGAGATTCAAGTCTACCCTGATGTACCTCAGAAGAAAGGCCTGGAGTTTTACTTCCCAAAGATCAGCCACTGAACACCCTATGGATCACAGTTCTCCTCTGACGCATACAGAGTCACCACGAGTCAGAACAGACTTGACAACAATTGGAAATACATCGGTGTTTACTGTAAAACTATCTCTTCGCAAAAAAAAGTATTTGCTGTATGTTTGAAAGCCAGAAATAAATAAACTCCATTCCTCAGTTGTATGCCACATTCCCCGTGCTCAACAGCCACCTGTGGCAAGTGACCATTCTATTGGACAGGGCACCTATAGAACATTCCATCACGGAAAGTGCTGCTGGACAGCCCTTTCTAGGGTCAGCTGAACACAGCTTCGAATCCCAGCTCTGCCACTTGCTAGCTGTGTGACCTCGGTGTTGTCATCTACAAAACCTGGTCAACAGCAACTGCTCGCAAGGGTACTGGAGGCATTAATGAAGTCAGTGCCCAAAGGGTCCAGCTCAGCAACAGGTATCATCATCCTTATGTCAGTGTCCTCCAAGGGCCACTGAGGCCAGGAAGGAAGAGAGATTTGCCCAGTGTCAGAGGTGTGACGGGTCTTCTTATCCCAAGCCATCTCCCTCTACAGACAGCTATCTCTGCCTCCCAAGACCCAGGACAAAGCCCCTCCGCACACCTGCCCAGATGTAGAAACACAAGTAGGAGGAGGTCGCCCATCCAAGATCTCTGGCTGAATCTCTCCTATCTGATGACAGCCTCCACTGAAACCCACAATTTTTGTCTTTTTGAGCTTTTCTAACCCCAAGTCACCACCACTTGTAATCTTTCACCATACTTACTCAATTATTACTTATTCAATTTATTACTCATGCTGAACAAATAATCCGAGATACTGGATTATATGAAAAGGAAGTATCATTAACAACCTTCCGTGTGCAGAGGATACACCCTTGCTTGTTGAAAGTAAATAAGACTTAAATACTTACTGATGAGGATCAAAAACCACAGCCTTTGGTTTGGACTGCACCTCAATTGAAAGAAAACAAAAATCCTCACTACTGGACCAATAAACAGCATCCATATAAATGGAGAAAAGACTGAAGTTGTCAAAGGCTTCATTTTGCTCGGATCAACCATCAACACTCATGGAATCAGCAGTCAGGAAATCAAACGAAGTATTGCATTAGGTAAATCTGCTGCACAAGACCTCTTTAACGTGTTCAAGAGCAAAGATGTCAGTTTGAGGACTAGGGTATGCCTGACCCAAGCCATGGTATTTTCAATAACCTCATATGCATGTGAAAATTGGACAATGAATAAGGAAGACCGTAGAAGAATTGATGTATATGAATTATGGTGTTTAAGAAGAATATTAAAGGTACCACGTATTGCTAGAAGTCTTGGAAGAAGTACAACCAGAATGTTCCTTAGAAGACAAGAAAGCCAGACTTCAGCTCTCATACTTTGGACATATTATCAGGAGGGTACAATCCCTGGAGAAGGACATCATGCTTGGTAAAGTGGAAGGACAGTGAAAAAGAGGGAGACCCCCAATGATATGGATTGGCACAGGGGCAGCAGCAATGGGCTCGAGTGTAGCAGCAACTGTGGGGATGGTGAAGGACCAGGCGGTGTTTCATTCTGTTGTACATAAGGTTGCTATGGGTCGGAACTGATTCAACAACAACCAACCCCCAAGTCAAGGAGCCTTGGTAGCACAACAGTTAAGCACTCCGTTATAAACTGAAAAGGTTGGCAGTCTGAACCCACTGAGCGGCAAGAGAAACACTTGGAAACCTGCTTCTATAACGATCATTGTTGTTGTTAAGTAGTTCGAGTCAGTTCTGATTCTTACAGGGTTTTTGAGGAAAAGCTAGCAGGTTTGAACCATCGACTTTGAGGTAAGCAGTCCAGTGTTTATCCTACAGTGCCACACCAGGATTCCATAAAGACTGCTGTTGTTATTGTTAAATGCCATCAAGTCAGTTCTGACTCATAGCGACCCTATATAGGATTTCCGAGGAGCGGCTGGTGAGCTTGAGCTGCTGACCTTGCAGTTAAACCACCCAGCGCAGTACCCCACAGAGCCACACCAGGAACCCCATAAAGATTACAGCCTAGAAAACCTGTGGGACTAGTCTATTCTGTCACATGGGGTCAGCGTGAGTCAGAATCCACTTATTGGCCCCTAAAATCAACAACCCGCGCCCAGTACTGCTCCCTCCCCTGGCACCTTGGGCCTGGCATCCACACCCAGTACTGCTCCCTCCCCTGGCACCTTGGCAGGTCTTGGTGCTTGGCTTCCAGTTCTCGTTGCTGATGATGGGCAGGCACATCTGTCCATTCTCATCCACGTTGGGGTGATAGATCTTGGTTGTGAATTTTACTGTGGGAGGTTTGAAAGGATACTCTTCGGGGAAAATGATGTTCAGGTTGAAGGCCTTGAGGTTATAAGGTGGTTCGTCCTGTGGAGAGAGAAAGGGGTCACTACTCCAAGAGTAGCTGCTCTAAACAGACCACCTTCCTCCCGAAGTTGTGGTCTGGTTCTCCTCCCACCCCACCCCAGGGTCCCAGACAGCCTCTGCTTCACTCCCAGGAAGAAACTTCAGCAGGGGGTACAGATGCACTCAACAATTGAGCCATGGAATAGTGGGAGGGAGTCCTGGTGTGGCTTGTGGGGTAAGTACCGGATGGCAAGGTCGGCGGTTCAAACTCACCAGTTGCTCCTTGGAAACCCTATACAGGGTTGCTATGAGTCGGAACCAACTCAACAACAACATGTGATGCCTGCCATGAGCCAGGCCCCATTCAAATCCCTTCGTGGAAAGCGGGGGGGACTGTCTGGCCCGCAGCCCATTTTGTTGTTTGTTGTTTGGTGAGCTTGAAATGCAGACCTTGCAATTCAAACTGACTTTGCAGTCCAGCACATTAGCCCACATGCAACACCACACCACAGCTCCATGCACTACACGTATGTCAGCTATTTTGTAAAAGGCACCCTGGTAATGCAATAGTTAAGCACCCAGTTGCTAGTCAGAGGAGAAGGATATCATGTTTGGCAAAGTATACAGTAAGAAAAAAAACAGGAAGACCCTCAAGGAAATGAAATGACACCAAATCTACTAAAGGGGGCTCAAACAGTTGTAAAGACAGCACCGCGCCGGGTGGTGTTTCCTTGTTATACACAAGGTCTGTGATGAATGGTAACCTAGCAGGGCACCTAACAACAAGAACTTGGATGACCCTAGCACAGAGCACAGAGGCCATTAGGCTGCTTCCAATGCACCAAGCCTTCCAGAACCTTCTTTATTGAGAAGACAAGGGTGAGGGCAGCCCAGACAGCAAAAGTAATGAAGTACAGAGTTAAGGTTTCCACAAAGCTCGTCCACTGAGGCCAGGGTGCATCTAAGAGATGAAGTAACAAGCGCGAAGATAAGAAATGTGCTTCGCTTTTATGGAATAAGAAAAGGCTGGAACCTTGAGGTACAGATAAGGGCCAGGGTGGAGACCTCAGAGAAGAAAGGGAGTGTCTCTGCAGGTGTGGGTTTGCAGGGGTTACGTGTGCAATTTCCCAGAGCATAACTGAGGGAGGAAGTAAAAGAGCCCTGGGGACCCGCCCCAGTTCAGCCTCAGCCTCTCTTGGGCTCAGTCTACTTATCTGTAAAATAAAGCTGAAAGTTTTAGTTTCTTCTAAGTTCTGGGTTAAATAAAGCCATTTGGGGGGCGGTCACATAGGGTTCACCCTGCTGTGTAGAAGTTCCTCCCTGTTCCTGAGGAGCTTCCAGGAGAATGTCATTGACACCTTGTAGAATACCTTGAAGCTGGAGGAGTCCTAACACTTCTTGGAAATACTTGGGCTGGGGAAGATCAAGGAGGAAGACAAGAAGGAATCCATCAGCTTATGGCAAACTCTGACAAGAAATACAGGGAGCGTGTTTGCGAAAGCTCTGGTGTCCAATCCATAGCAGAATTTTTTGGCCAAGTCTAAGTCAGAAGAGACCCAGGAAGAGGTACAGGGGCTTTTGGATACTTGGGTCCATGGTGGTCCTAAGTACCAGAAGCAAGTGTGCAAAGGTCTGACAGCTTTACTGCCCTGAGTATCCCCCAAAGTTCAGCAGCTGTCCCTGCAGACTCTCAGGACCACCCAGTCCATTACAGGAAACACACACCACAGCATCGTGGACTGCGGGCTGAAAGTGTCGCACACGATGCACCTGGAAGTCCAGATGAAGCCACTGAGCTGATCGGAGAGCCGGTCAACGATGAGGTGCACAAGGCGCCGCTCCAGGGCCTCGTGACGCTGCCGATACCGTCTGACAAGGAGAGCTCCAAATTACAGCCCAAGATCCTCAGTGGCACTGCAGCACTCCAGTTCACAGCCCAGCTGCCAGTGTTTCTGCACCAGGCTGTGGCTGCCAAGACCATAGGGGTCCTGGCACGCAGCAAACCTAAGCACCACCGAGGAAATGCTGCACCGGTGCAAGGCACACAGTCTGATGGCACCATGGGTAGCACCGACCACAGCAATAGCCAGCGGCCAGCCAGCCTCACGTTAGAGTACTATGTGCAGATGTTCCCAGCGGTGGAGGAGCATGGGGGAGGAGCTTTACAAGTTCTTCTTGAGCAATGCCAGGGACTTAGATGTGAAAATGGGCAGCATTGAGGTTTAAGACTTGGCAGCCAAGAAACTCAATGGTACTGAAGCCTTAAGCCTCTCTAGTGGCATCTACCGCAACATGAGCTTTGACTTTGACCCTTCTGAAAATGAGGAACCATTTAGTCTCCATCAGACACTTTCAGAAGAAGAACATAGAAGCGAAAGGAACACAGAGCCCAGGAGGCAACCTGGAAAAGCCAAGGCAGAAAGCCTGACACTTAGGAAGGAGCCTGGGCCAAGCTCTGGGTGCTCTGCCAGGCCCTCGCTGGGAGGCTGGGGTGAGGCACTGTGCTGAGGGAGAGCTACTGGCTGGGAAGAGTTCAGTAAATAGACTTGCTATCTGAAAAAAAAAAGTCTGAAAACCACACATCACTCATGGAGTGGTTAAAAGAGAGAACTCTGACGTCAGCTAAATTCTATCCCTACCATCCCATGCTGGATGACTTTGGATGAGTTACTTAGCCTCCATTTTCTCAACTATAAAAATAATTCAAGGAGTCCCTGGTTGGTGCAAATGTTAACACACTTGGCTGGAACCGAAAGGTTGGAGGTTCGAGTCCATTAGGAGGCACCTGGGAAGAAAGGTCTGGCAATCTACTTCCAAAAAATGGGACACAGTTCCACTCCAACACACATGTGGTCACCATGAATCAGAATCAATTCAACAGCAACTGGTTGTTGTTGTTAAGTGCCATCGGGTCGACTTCAACTCACAACAACTCTATATAGGGTTTCCAAGGAGCAAGTGATGGGTATGAACCACCAACCTTGTGATTTGCAGTCAGTGCTTATCCTACAGCACCACACCAGGAGTTTGTAGCAACTGGTTGTTGCTGTTGTTGTTGTTAAGTGCCGTTGAGTCAGTTCTGACTCATAGTGACTCTGTATAGGGTTTCCAAGGAGCAGCTGCTGGGTTTGAACCACCAACCTTACAGCTTAAACTGACCTTGCGGTCCAGTGCAGAATCCTGCAGTGCCCCATTAATACTACCTTCCTCCTTGGGTGGTTGTGAAAATTCACGATAACCTCAAACAAAGCATATTTAGAACAGTGGTCAGCCCAGAGGGGGCTTCTCAATAATAAATAAATAACTCTGTTAGCTTCAAAGAGCCTGGCAAAGCTGTAAGAAAAGCACCAGACTCGTAACCATAAAGTTGGTCATTAAAATCCACCAGCTGTTCAGAAGGAGAAAGATGAGGCTTTCTGCTCCCATAAAGATTTGCACCGTTGGAAGTCCTCTATCGAGTCTCTATGAGTCTGAATCAGACTCAATGGCAGTGGGTTCTATTAGCATCAAAAGGGCTTTTAGCCGCAACCTTCTATGGCCAAGATCAGAGGAGTGGCTGGAGACTAAGCCTTTAAAATGGAACCTGTCTGTCCAGCCCACAGACCTTCCCTGGCTGTCCTTCCCCATTGGTCAACCACCCCTCCTTTACGGCTTCACCAGAACCCCCTGGCTAGAGAGTCAACATCAAGCGTTGGCCCCCAGTCCTGGGGGCTCCTCCCAACAAGCATGCTTCTTTAGGACCCCTGTCTGGCTGCCAGATGCTTGGCTGGCTCCTGGGGTGTACCTACCCACCTCAGTCTTGCCAGCCCTTGTTGTTGTTGTTGTTATGTGCCGTGGAGTCGGTTCCCACTCATAGCGACCCTGTACAGGGTTTCTGAGGCTATAAATCTTTAAGGGAGCAGAAAGTTTCATCTTTCTCCTGCAGAACAGCTGGTAGTTTCAAACTGCTGATCTTGCGATTCGCAGCCTGATTCGTAACCACTATGCTACCAGAGCTCCTTAAGGTCCTCTAATTTCCCAGTATTTCCCCAAATGTGACCATCCCTAGCTTTTCCTTCTGCCTTTTTCCTTCCCTTCACTCTCACCATCTCAAAGCTGGCCTCCTTTGGAGACCTAATCAGTCCCTGTAGTTTCTTCCAGCATCTTCTTCCCCTGGTACTGATAAGTGTTCCCAAGACAAGCCAAGGAAGTGAACTTCTTCAACCGAGCAACACAAGGAACCTGACTGAAGGTTCAAATGTCGACCCAACTCAAACCTGTCCCATTTTTCTGAACTACAGATTAGGTGGCAGGGAAGAGATGGCACAACACAAAAGTAGACTCCAACTTACAGTGACCTAACAGGATACAGTAGAACTACTTCACGGGGTTTCCGAGACTGTACATCTTTTTGGGAACAGCCTCTTTTGAGTTTGAACCTCTGACTTTGTGATTAGAAGCCCAATGCTTAACTCATGGCACTACCAGAGCCCCTGAACCCCTGTATTGTAAGACATCCAAATCCTAAGTAATAAGATGATTTGTTCTTCTTAATAAATTCTCTTTCCATTCCAAAGAACTTTGACTGCCAAAAAAGCTCAAATGCTTTCATTTTCATTTCCAAGTGGCCAAAGGACTCCTGGTGTGGCGCTGTGGGCTAATGCGTCAGACTGCAAAGCCATCTGAACTGCAAAGTCAGTGGTTCAAGCTCACCAGCTGCTCCTTGGAAACCCAATACAGGGTCGCTATGAGTCGGAACTGACTCAACGGCACTTAACAACAACAACAAAGGTATACCAACGAATTTCTATAAGAAAGTAACTTCTGCCACTTAGGAAATGGCAAAATAAAGACCATGCACTCCAATAAATTCTTTGGATTATGACTTCTGAAGGGAGATTTTTATCAAAATGATATCAAGTAATAAGCAGAGAGACGTGAGAACAGTTGTTTTTGTTAAGTTTGTTGAGTCAGTTCAGACTCATAACAATCCTGTGTATGTTTCTGAGGAGTGGCTGGTGAGTTAGCAGTCCTACAGTGGCACACCATGACTCCTGGGAGATAAATTAATTATGTTATCATGTGGAACAATAATTTCTGAAATTAGTCTTTAAAAGAAAAACCTCATTTTAGATTTAGGGGAGCAAATTCTACCAACTGTTGGAATCCCGGAAGCTTGCACCTGATCCTTGGCCCCAACCCAGTCTTTCCCCACTCACCACCCCCACTCAGTTTTCATCAGATCAATCCTGACTCATGGCAACCCCATGTGTGTCAGAGTAGAACTGCGATCCATAAGGTTTAATCTTTCTAAAGTAGGTTGCCAGGCCCTTCTTCCAAGGAACCTCAGGGTGGGTCTGAACTTTCAGTTCATAATCAAGCGCTTAACCATTTGAGCCAGGGACTCCTTGACAAAATGCTAGACGATCTCTTTTTTAATTCTTTACCTGATGTCTTTCATCTGCATCCATACAGACGGGAGTCTCCACCAATGGTAGCCTCCAGTGAGCGGATCCTACGCAAGATAAATTCCTGCCCAGCCCTGCCCCCTCCCCACCCATGTCCTTGGCATGAGCTGCCCCAGTCCAGAGCCGAACCCCCATGGACACTCACAGGCAGCAAGAGCATGTGCCACACCAGGACGTCGGCATCTTTGCTGACCAGGTTCCGCAGGTACCGGGGAGGCTCCCTCTGCAGATCTTCCAGCTCCTGGGGGGTGAACATCGAGAGGGCAGTTGGCCTTGTCCTTTCCTCCTGGCCAGCAGCAAGCTGCCCTCTCCCAAACAGGACATGCTAGGAGGCCGAAGCGTTTTGAGCACTTAGTATGCATCAAGACCCCTCAGTGGTGAAAATGGTTTGCATTCTTGTCTGCTAACCCAAAGGTTAGTCCTGGGGTGGCGCTGTGGGTTAATGCGCCAGACTGTAAAGCCGTTTGAACTGCAAGGTCGGCAGTTCAAGCTCACCAGCTGCTCCCCGGAAACCCTATACAGGGTCCCTATGAGTCAGAACGGACTCGACAGCACTTAACAACAACAAGAACAACAACCCAAAGGTTGGTGGCTCAAACCCACACAGTGCAGTCATACAACAAAGGCCTGGTGACCTGCCTTCGTTGAGATGACAGCCCAGAGAAGTCTATGAAGCAGTTCTACTCTGCAATACATGGGGTCGCCATGAAGTCAGAATTGACATGACAGCATCAGGTTTGCGGTTTTGTGTGCATCAAGCACGGCGATAAGTGTTTGAAGTTAATTATAGGATTTCAGCCTTACAACTCAGGGAATACCAGATGTAAGGAAGACCCAGATGACTTTCTCCCAAATAAGAAAACTTGGAGTGAAACCATCTTACAAGTCTTCTCTCCTGAAGCTGAGGTACTTGACCCTCTTGCCCTATTCCTAGAGAATTACTAGGTCTTCATTCTCTCCCTCCTACCTTACCCTCCCATCAGCACCCATAAATACCTAGCATGACAACAGATACACACACACAGTGCTCGTGGCAGACTGGGTGGCTGCAAAGACACCAGCTCATCCTTATGGGACTCCACTAAATCAGGGTTGGGGAAGGGAAATAACTCAGGCGGACCATGTTGTTGTTAAATTGCCGACCCACAGCGACCCTGTATAGGGTTTCCGAGTTGTGGTTGGTGAGCTTGAACCACCGATCTTGTGGTTCAAGCAGATTTTGCAGTCCAGCGCATTGACCCACAACACTACTCCAGGACTCCCTAACGACAGGCCATAGTGAATGAGAATGAGGAGAACTCTACACACCAAGTAGAGAAGCAAGAGCCGGGAGGGTGTTACCTTGACAATCACCTGGACCCAGTCACCTCAGTAGCCACTGACAGAGCATTCTCCCTCGACCAAGACATGCCTCGGCCTCCAGATCGTGCATGGAGTAATAGAGGAAACATGGATGCGATTACATGAATGACATGTGTGAACACATGAATGGGGGAGGAGAAGAGAGGGAGCAGAGGGGTTTCCCAGAGGCTGTGCTTGGTGAGCTGGACCATGCCAGATAGATACACAGGAGTCTAGCATGCAGAGAAGACGAACAGCCAAGACAGAGGGCCCGAGTAGAGCAAATGTGCATCCACAGATTAGTAGTTATTACAGAAAAAGTGTTTCATGAGCAAGTATGCTTGAGAAACACTGGGCTAAACAGCATTCTTTCTTGCAGGATTTTTCAGAGCCTTTTGATGATTATGACTCTAAAACTATGAACCCATAGAATGCAGTACTTCTCAAATGTATTGGACCCCCTCACTGTCTCTTTGGTGACTATACAACAGTTCCCCCCAAAAAAACAAACAAATTTAAAATGGCATTCAAGGACACGTCATATTCTTCTGGAACACCCAAATGGTGTAAAACTGTTGGTTCTCAACCAGGGGCAATTTAACCCCCAGAGACCATCGCCAATATCTACAGGCATTTTTGATTGTCACAAAAGGAGGGTGGGGATACTACTGACATCGAGTGGGTAGAGGCCAGGAGTTTTGCTAAATAAAGAATTATCGAGCCAAACATCAATAGTACTGAGGTTGAGAAACTCTGGTGTAAACAAACACAGAGAGAATGTTCCCAAACTCAGTTCCCAGTTAACAAGGGGCCCTTTAACACTGACAATTATCTGAATTTTCTAACCCCTACTCCCCACTTTATCCCAGCAAGCTGCTTCCCATGTATCTTTTACCTAAACTAGAAGTATCTGCTTCTACAAGTAAACGTCTAGTTCCAGTATCATTTGCTATTCTTCGGCAAGGATAAGCCTAAGGTTAAACAGAGAAGATCTGGAATGGGCATTTCCCTGATGTGACAGAAAATAGGAATAGTTAGGATTTTATCTATTATAGGTGAGGTCTGCCAATACTCTCGCAACACCTAAAGATGATGTAACCAAACCTAGGACACACAGCTCTTTCCTGAAGTCTGTTAAGAAATCACCTGACTTGGAGGAATCAAAAATGAAAGTAGAGGAGCCATTGAAAGAGACTGGTTTTGGAGTTCCCGGGACCTGGCTCAAATCCTAGCCCTATCTTTTCCTACTAGGCTGACCATGGACAAATGAGTTCTTTTATATGAGCATCAGTGCCCTCATCTATAAAATGCGCAGACACAGTAGCTGTGATAATAAATGAACTGATAACTGAGAAACTGCCTAGCACTTAAAGATCCCAGTGTGATCAATAAAACCAGTTGTCACTTAATCGATTCCAACTCACGGCTACCCTATGTGTATGAGCGCAGAACTACACAATTGTCAAAGGTGAGTTTTTGGAGGCAGATCACCAGAGCCTTCTTCCAAGACACCTTGGGTGAACTTGAACTCCCAACCTGTCAGCAGCTGTGTGTGTTCACCAGTTTGCGTCCCCAAGGATCTCCAGTGTGATAGATACTAGTTCCCACCTCTTTTCCACCAGAAAAAACCCTACCTCACATTAGTAACCTTCACATTTCATTTCTTCTGCGCTGAGCCTACTCTCGGTGACTCAGTCTGAGACCATCTACTCTTAGGGTACCCGGAAAGCAAGCACCCCCTTCCCCTCCACTCTGCAGTTTAGGGGGATAAGTTGGGAGAGACTCATAGTCTGGGAATGTCAGACCCACTTCACCAACGTTTATCTCCACCTCCTGCTACACCTGGATCGATCTCCCCCAAATTTCCCACCTCCCCATCCTTCCAGATACGATCTCATACTGTGCCCCTGATTGAAATGGAGGCTCCAAGAGGACAGGGACATTCGCCCTTTGCTCAGGGCTGCCTCCCTCCCACCTAGACCAGGCCATACATAGTGGGCATTCCATAGCATCTTCGAAAGGGATGAAGCGTATGCCACCGTGCCAGGAGCCTTCTCCGCTCAGCCTTGGCATGGCTTCATCAGGAGAATGCCAGGGGAACTTTGCCCATCAGTATACTAGGTTATTTTGGACTCTAGTCCAGGAGGTATCCGTCCAGGGGGCAGGCCATAAGCTATCCCAAGGCTAGGACCTTGTCCTTTAAGCTCGGTCCAGAGCCCACTCCCCACCCCCAGCAAAGTGCCTGTTGCCAGGGCGACAACAAGGCACCATACATAACTCACTGCCATCGAGCCGATTCTGACTCATAGCTAACCTACAGGGCAGAATAGAACTCCTATTTAGGGTTTCGCGAAAGACTGTAAATCTTTATAAAAGCAGACAGCCTCATCTTTCTCCCTGCCCCCACCCCCAACGGACGATGGGTTTGAACCGTCCACCTCATGGTTCACAGCCCAGCGCTTAAGCAACTGGGTCATCAAGGCTCGTTTCCCTCATTGTTAACTGCTGCTAAGTCGGTTCTGATTTATAACGACTCTATATAAGGTCTCCGAGGACCGACTGGTGGGTTTGAACCACCTACCTTGTGATCTAGTGCTTATTCTACAGCGCCACACCAGGATTACATTCCCGAAACTTGGACATACGTAATTTTCACAAGTTTCTGGCACAAGTGAAACCGAAACCAATTTGGGGGCTACTGCGATCCGCTCACCTCATTCCCAGCTGAATTCAGGGCGCCAGCGACACCCCACCTCCCGTGCCCCTACCTCCTCAAATCCCAGTTTGGGCCCCTGTCGCAGACACCTTCTTCCCCTGGGGAGAGGGCAGGGGACGGCAAGGATTCAGCCAGCCCTATTAACTGACAAATGGATGCACTCAGAGAGCCAGCTGGGGAAGGGATGGAAGGACAAGGGAGCAAGAGCCAGGGAAGGAATGGAGTGGGAAGCGCGAGCCCCTCCCCTCCACTCCCCTCCCCCCGGGAATGAGGGATGTCCCACTGGCGGTTACCTTCGCCACCCGCTTGCACGCCGACATCTCGTGTTGGGAAACAGCGAACGCCAGCTGACCGAGTCCTGGGACTCGGCGCCCCGCCCCGGGGACCCCACCTCCGAGCGCTCCGCCCACACCCTGTTCCGCTCCACCCACGCCATTGCCAGGCGTCGCTGACCTGCGTTCCAGTAACTTCACAGAGATGAGGGGTCCTGCGGGGAGGAGGGCTTGGATTCCTGGGGTTCGCGCTCTTTGGGGGAGACTCGGCGGTTTCTGGAGCGCACTGCGTGCCTGGTGTCTGCGTCCCGCTTGGGGGCGCCCTGTACCAGGCGATGAGTGCACTGAGCGCTAGGCTGGGGCCGTTCATCCGGGTGTTGGTCCCTGCCGGGGGCTGCGCCACGAATTCCTCGCCTTCAGCCCTCTTCTCACCACCGTAAATACATCCTTGCTATAAATAAACGCAGGACACTTGCTGTGCAAACGCCGTTCTGCATCAGATCCCTAGGCGGCCTCCACCATCAGATCGCCTCCCTGAGCCCCTTGTCTAGCGAACTCCTGGAGCAGTCCCTTCCTCTGCTTGGGCCCAGTGCCCATCTCTATAAATGGGGATCCTTTGTGCTGTCGAGCATTCGGCGGCAAAACTGCAAGGACTGTTCTCGCAGATGAAAATCACCACAAGAGGGCGCTGCTTGGACCCGTTCTGGTTTTTTGTCGGGCGGGGGGGGGGGCGTCGCTTGTGTGTCCTTCCGGTCTTTTACTATCAGTGCCGAGCTCATGTCAGTTTGAGAAACAGTTGGGTGGGGGAAGCGCCAAGACAGATTTCAGGAGCCACCTCCCCCCTAAAAAAGGGAAGCCCTTAACCTCCCTTAAGTTACCACTGAGTCATTCGCAGTGTGGCCTACTATGCGTCCCCATACACAGACAGACGTTTACACTCCTCTGGGCAAGGGCAAAGACCCCTCTCCCAGACTAAAGTTGAGCCCACCTGGAATAGCAACCCCTTAGCACCCAGCGCCTTGTGGGAAAGTCTCAGAATTCCTAGGCTCTGAGCCCTTCTTCTTTCCCCTCAAACCAAAGTCCCCGCCCCCCCCCCTTCAGCCAGATAAGAGAGGAAATCAGCGTATTTTGAGCTCAGGATTCTCAAATGTCTGTTTTGTTGTCTATTATTGCTGCAACACAATATCACAGTGAGTGGCTTTGAAGGACATAAATTTATTTCTTCACAGTTTATAGAAACTAAAAGTACAAATCAATGTCTTGGCAGCAATTCCTACCATTCCTTGTGGGTTGTCGCCAACAGTCCTTGGTTCCTTAGCTTATAGATGATCCTCACATAGGGCCTCTCCCTCACCTCTCAAGTTCCCATTGCCCTGTATCTAAGTTACTCTTTTAGTAACTCAGAAGTGATTAGATTTGTTGTTGCTGTTAAGTGCCATCGAGTCGGTTCCGACCCATAGCGACCCTGTACAGGGTTTCCGAGGGTGTAAATCTTTACGGGAGTAGAAAGCCTCATCTTTCTCCCGCGGAGCGGCTGGTAGTTTCGAACCGCTGACCTTAAGGCTCGCAGCCCGATTCGTAACCACTACGCTACCAGATTAGATTTAGAACCCATCTAATTTACTGGTGATTGGAATGCCAAGATTGGAAACGTAGAGGAGGGATCAGTAGATGGAAAATATGACCTTGGTGATAGAAACTATGCTGGTGGTGGTTATGTGCCGTGGAGTCGGTTCCGACTCATAGTGACCCTGTACAGGGTTTCCGAGGCTGTAAATCTTTATGGGAGCAGAAAGCCTCATTTTTCTTTTGTGGAACAGCTGGCAGTCTCGAACTGCTGACCTTGTGGTTCACACCCCAATTCGTGACCACTACGCTACCAGAACTGGAGACCGCATGAAAGAATTTTGCAAGACCAATGACTTATTCATTGCAAATACCTTTTTTAAACTCCATAAAAGCCTACTATACACATGGATCTCACCAGATGGAATACAGAGAAATCAAGTGGACTACATCTGTGGAAAGAGATGATGGAAAAGCTCCATAATCACTGGCCAAAACAAGGCCAGGGGCAGATTGTGAAACAGACAATCAATTGCTCATATGCAAATTCAATCTGAAGCTGAAGAAAATGAAAATAAATCCATAAGAGCCAAACTATGACCTTAAACATATCCCACCTGAATTTAGAGATCATCTGAAGGACAGATTTGATGCATTAGACACTAAAGACTGAAGACCAGAAGAGTTGTGAGATGACATCAAGAACATCATACAGGAAGAAAGCAAAAAGTCGTTGAGAAGACAAGAAAGAAGGAAAAGATCAAAATGGATGTCAGAAAAGACCCTGAAACTTGCTCTCCAGCATAGAGATGGAAGAAGTGAAAAGGATGGAAGAAGTGAAGAGGCACAAAAGCTTAATAGAAAATATCAAGAGTCAGCTCGAGAAGACAGTCAAATATTATAACTACATGTGCAAAGATCTGGACTTGGAAAACCAAAAGGAAGAACACGCTCAGCATTTCTCAAGCTGAGGGAACTGAAGGAATCTGTGGGCAAAATATTGAATGATGCAGAAAGCATCAAAAGAAGCATCAATGGAAGGAATACACAGAGTCACTATACCGAAAAGAAATGGTCAATGTTCACCCATTTCAAGAAGTAGCATATGATCAAGAGCCAGTGATCCTAAAGGAAGCAATCCAAGGTACATTGAAGTCATTGGCAAAGACCAAGGCACCGGGAATAGATGGAATACAAATTTAAATCTTTCAATTAACTGATGCAGCACTAAGAGCACTCACTCATCTATGCCAAGAAATTTGGAAGACAACTACCTGGCCAACTGACTGGAACAGATCCATATTTGTGCCCATTCCAAAGAGAGGTGACCCAACAGAATGCGGAAATCATTGGACAATATCACTGATTTCCCATGAAAGGAAAGGTTTTTTGTTTTTGTTTTTTAAGCTTTTATTGTGAATTGATGATACGCTACATGGCAGAACATCAGTTTTGCACTCAACTAATTGAAGTTTATGGTATTTTCAGTAACCTCATATGCATACGAAAGCTGGGCAGTGAATAAGGAAGACTGTAGAAGAATTGATGCTTTTGAGTTATGGTGTTGGAGGAGAATATTGAAAGTGCAATGGGCTGCCAAAAGAACAAACAGATCTGTGTTGGAAGACGTGCAGCCAGAGTGCTCCTTGGAGGCCAGGATGCCCAGACTTTGTCTCTCATACTTGGGACATATTGTCAGGAGGGACCTAGTCGCTTCTTAACATTATTCCCCCCTTTTACCCATTCCAACCATGTCACAATCCCTGTATCCCAGAGCCCTGTTGTTCTAAGGTTGTGCATACATCATTATTTACCTCTATCCCACTTAGCCCATGCAAACCTGCCTAATTGCTTTCCCATCCACCTTGTTCTTCCATTCCCCTACACCTTCTTTTGTATTGCCCCCTCCCCAGCACCCAAACTATTCTGTATCTATTCCCTACCCTGTGCTCCACCTTTTCCTCCCTTCCCTAACCCCACTCCCCTCAAGTCCCAGTAACCAGCAAAGAATCCCCACACACCCCCATTAGTATGGGTTCTTTTTCTTAGTCTGTAGAAGTACAGTAGTGGTCCTATGCTATATTTCTCCTTTGTGACTGACTAACTTCACTCAACATAATGTCCTCAAGGTTCATCCATGTTATGTGATAGCTTACAGTTTCCTTGTTATTCTTCAAGGTAGCATAATATTCCATTGTGTGTATGTACCACAGTTTGTTTATCCTGTAAAGATATACAGCCTCAGAAACCCTGTACAGGGTCGCTATAAGTCAGAACCGACTCCACGGCACATAACCAACTAACCAACCAATGGCTAGTGATCGTGAACATTTCTTCATGTGTTTGTTGGCTGCCCAGATCTCCTCCTTGGTGAAGTGTCTGTTTATGTCCTGTGCCCATTTTTTAATTGGGTTATTTGTCTTTGTCTCCCTTCCCCCCCCCCTTCTGTGGATTCCCTTTTTACTCTTTTGGTGAAGTCTTTTGATGCACATAAATTTTTAATTTTTAGTATGTCCCAATCACCTATTTTGTCTACTTTTGTTTGTGTAGTGTTCAAAATGTTTGGTAGTCTATGTATTCCCTGAATTAGAGCTCTCATATTTGTCCCTATTTTTTCATTGATGGCCTTCATAAATCTGGGGTTCACATTTAGGTCTCTAATCCATGCTGAGTTGGTTTTTGTATAAGGTGTGACCAACCTCCCTCTTTCATATATTACCTTCGCAGTCACCCAAGTTAATGCAGCATGTCTATCTTCTCCCTTTCCTCCTACCCTTGGTAACCATTTTCTTGACTTTTTATAATATTGGTCTCATATAATATCTGTTCTTTTGTGATTGACTAATTTCACTCAGTACTATGAATTTTTTACTTAGAAAAATAGTTGCACCATTGCCCTAAGGCAGCAAACTCAGGAATGCAGGAATTTCTGTTCTTCCTTCTCAGTAATCCCTGAGCATCTGGCATCATTTAAATAATAAGAAGGAAGATTATTGTAACTATCTCTTACTGACCACTGTTCTAAGTTCTTTAGTTCTTTAGAACTATCAGCTCACTGTTCTTCACATTCACCTGTGAGGTATATGTATCATATTGCTGTTAAGGGCTGTGGAGTCTGTTCCGAGGAACAGACTGTGGGGGTTGAACTGCTATTAGCCCCTTTTTACAGTTGAAAAAGCAGAGCCACAGACAGGTTAAGTACCTTGCCCAAAGTTATTCAGCCAATAATGGAAGAGTAGGAATTCCAACCGGATTATTTATAACTTGGGCTTACAATTTCTTCCACTTTTATGAGCTCAGTTTCTCATGGTGCTGGGAGGCAGGTAGGTCTACCAGGAAGATGCTAGGGAGGTTCTACGGCTTACCCAAGGCCATACGGTGTGTAGGTGAAACCAGAACCGGGATCTTGTGGCTCCCAGCCCAGGGCTTGTTCTGACAATAAATGTCTGTGTTGTACAAGGACATGCATGACATGTGGGTCA